TGCCATAATTCTTAGTGCAATGATATTAACAATGTGACATATAAGAAATTAACATCGGCACAATGTTACCATAATTCTTAGCCCAATGATATTAACATTGTGACATATAAGAAATTAACATCCCTACAAAGCCTTTACACTGAAGACCTTACTTGAATTTCCCCTGGTCTACCAGTGTCCTTTGTTGTTCTGGGGTCCCATGCAGGCCCCACGCCCGGCACTGAACCCCAGCTTCTTGCAGTCTCCCCAGTAAGTAAGTTTGCCCACCTTTCCTCGTTTCGCATGACCTTGAGGACTCGGAAGGGGATGGAATTTTGTTTTGCCAAATGCCCCTCAATTTGGTGCTTTCCCAGGATTGGACTGTGAACCCACAGGAGTCAGGTGCCCCTTTTTAATGTCCTGTATCATGGGCTTTGTGACGTCAGAGTTCTTACCGCTGGGACAGGGACATTGGAATTGGTCCCAGGTTAGGACGGCTTCTGCGGGGTTTTCTTTTTTATACTTTGTGTTTCCTCTTCTGTCATCCCCTCTGTGGGGAACACACTTGGGAAAGCTACTTTAACACTGTATGATCTGTTACTCCTCAAACTTCAGCTGATTTTGGCACCCATCGTGTATCTGGCCTCCAACATTCGCTTCTGTACAGTTTGTTTGAAGATGGTTCTCGGTTTCCTTCTCTCCTACGTTTATTCATTTCAGTTCTACTGCAAGAAAGAGCTACGACTCCTCCCCCCGCCCCCACGTCTGTATCTACTTGATGACTTGCCCCGTTGCTGGCTCATGGCTACTTCTTTTATTCTGCGGGTTATAATCTGATGCCATTGTTTCCATTATGTTGCTGGAATTGCTCACATTTGGGCCATTAGGGGCACTTTCGTGGTAGCCTGTTGTATTCTTCCATCAAGATACATAAATATATATTTAGCACTTCCTTTCTTCATGACTCCACAAGATGTTTGTTCTAGACTCCTCATATTTTTAATTTTCCCCTCTTCCAGCCCTGGATTCAGCCACCTTCTTCAAGCGGCGCTGAAGCCTTTTCTTGGAGAAACATTTAGAAACCAAGATCTAGGCGTCGTGTGTGCTCAGTACTGCTGGGGTCTCATTCCTACCAGCCCCTTTCGGTGCGCAGAGCTCGGAAACAAGAGTGTGTTTGCCAGCACACTCACAGGCACGTGTCAGTCATTCTGTACCTCTGTCCGCCTCTGAGACAGCAGGACCTCATACCGATACCTCGGATTGCAGTCCAACAGCACAGAGTCCAGCCTCCTTCTTTCCTTGTTTGTACCTCCCACCCCCAAGACCGAGGCATCTGGCCCTTCCTGTCTGTAACGTATTTACTTACTGGGTCAGCTCTAGGACACACACAGAGTCCTTTCTGCACTGCTAACCCGCACCCATGAGAAACACTTGCTGGTGAGGTTACGCCTCAGGGCCGTCAGGATTTTGTCATCTGAAGTTTCTTAGGTGAGACGTGGGTTATATAATACGGCTCGGTTTATTTGTTAGTATTTGTATTCCGCCTGGGATCTCTCCCACATCCTGATTTTGTTTTTAAAGTTCATTTATTTAAGAGAGAGAGAGAGAGTGCAAGCAGTGGAGGGGCAGAGAGAGAGAGGGAGAGAGAAAATCCCAAGCGGGCTCTGCGCCGTGAGGTCCTGACCTGCGCCAAAACCAAGAGTCAGAGTCAGAGTCCGTTAACAGACTAAACCACCCAGGCGCCCCCACATCCTGATTTTTAAAATTCATTTTTTACCCAGTGACTTGGAACGCCACGTTCGTCATATACGAAGCTTCTCTGTGCACTTTGGGCGTGCTCTGGACATGCCGCTCTATCCGCTGGACCGTCTCTGTGATCACACACCTGCCGCACACAGTTGGAGTCACGCAGGCCCCAGCGTGTGTGCGTGGTGGCTGGGACCAGTCCTCCTGGGATTCCTTCCTTGGTTGTGTTCCTGCGAGCGCCACGCGTTGCTTTTCCACGTGGATGCAAAGTCTTGCTGTGTAGACTCTGCGCGCGGACAGAGCGGGAGCGATTCTACGCGCTCGCTAGGCTTCCCGAAACCCGAGCCTCAGGCAGTGTGCGAGGGAAAAGGGATCTCCGGGTCCTTATCTTTAACACAAATAATGCATTTCCTTTGTGAGACCATCATTTGGCATTGAATTTCCCAGTGGAACCTTTTCAGGGTTTTGATGCAGAAGGTGCCAGAGGTGGGGGAGGAGAGCGTGCATCTACGGATATGGGGGCCGCAGGCTGTGTCCCGGCGAGTGCTTTAGGCCGTGCTGCTGTGAGTTGACCTCCAGAAGGTGGCCTGCTCGCCAGGCAGCGAGGAGTCTCCCTCCCGGGCGGGGCTTCTCACCAGCCCGGCCTCGGGGTCCGCGCCCTCAGCGAGCTCACGGCCTGCACCTGCCCTGGCCAGCGGGGCGCACCGGGCACAGCCTGCAGTGTGGACAAGGTTCGCGGAGCGGTCTGGGCGCTGACTGCGTCCCTCGTGAGAAGCCGACTGAACTCCCCGCTGATGATGGTTAGGGGCTGAGCCAGATGTCGCCAACGCAGGGTGAGGTTAGGGGCGTGTTAGCGAGAATGTTCGGGGTTTTCAGTTTCACTCTTGGTCCTCAGGAATTCTTAAGAGGTGGCCCCAGGAGAACCCCGTGGCTTGCTCCTTGGCACTGTGCCTGCCCGGAGAGCTCTGCTGCATTTTGTGCCCTTTTATTCTCCTGTCTTTGATCAGGCTGTGTAGACACAAACAGCTCGTCACAGTGGACAGTCCTGGGAAGTTGTGAGGTTGGATGTATTTTTTTAACCACCCAGTCAGAACTCGGGGCACCTGGGGGGCTCAGTCGGTTCAGTGTTGGACTTGGGCTCAGGTCATGATCTCATGGTTTATGAGTTCAAGCCCCCATCGAGCTCTGTGCTGACAGCTCAGAGCCTGGAGCTGCTTTGGATTCTGTGTCTCCCTCTCTCTCTGCCCCTCCCCCGCTCGTGCTCTGTCTCTTTCTCAAAAATAAATATTAAAAATTAATAAAATTTAATCACCCACTCAGAATTTACAAGACTGGGATACACTTTTTTATAGCATATCAGGAAGGTTTCATTCCAGGGTCGTATCATCAGCATAAGTGTTTGGTCTCCCAAGAGGACTTATTTTTTTTAAACATTTTAAAATAAGTTTTTATGTTTACTTATTTTGATTTTTTTTTTTTTTAGAGAGAGAGAGAGAGAGAGATTGAGAGAGAGACAATGTGGGCAAGGGAGGGTCAGAGAGAGAGGGAGAAACAGAATCTGAAGCAGCTCCAGGTTCTGAGCTGTCAGCACAGAGCCCGACATGGGACTCAAACTTATGAACTGTGAGATCATGACCTGAGCTGAAGTCTGACACTTAATGGATTGAGCCACCCAGGCGCCTCCCCCAAGAGCGCTTATTTTTATAAAGCCCAAGGTGCACCTGGGTGGCTCCATCAGTTAAACATCTGACTTTTGATTTCAGCTCAGGTCATGGTTTCATGGTTCGTGGGTTTGAGCCCTACACGCTGACAGCACGGAGCCTCCTTGGGATTCTCTCTCTCCCTCTCTCTCTCTGCCCCTCCCCAGCTCACACAGCTTGCTCTCTCTCTCCCTCTCATTCTCTCTGCCTCTTTCCCCCACTAAAAATACATAAGCTTAAAAAAATAAATTAAAAACTTGAAAAGGCCAAGACTTGGTAAACTATCCCAGCCCTGATTTATTATTTTATAAAGCATCAGTGTTACTGCTTGCGTCATATTAATTTAGTTGCATATGTCTCATTTGGAGGTTAAAACATTTTTTTTAAGTTTATTTATTTTGAGAGAGAGAGAGCATGCACTTGAGCTGGGAAGTGGGGTAGAGAGAGGGGGAGAGAAAGAATCCTAAGCAGACTCCGTGTTATCAGCACAGAGCCAGATATGGGGCTGGAACTCACGCACTGTGAGAGCATGACCTGGGCTGAAATCAGGGCGCTTAGCTGACCGAGCCCCCCGGGCGCCCCTCATGTGGAGATTTTTAATTGCGAGAACCCACATGGACATAGGCTGATAAGCCGCAGAAGGGTTTACTCACGGGTCCGGTAAGGTGCACGGAGCTGAGGGCAGAGCTGACCCAGGAGACCTTGGGGACCGGGAGCCTGGCAGCGCCCCAGCTCTGTGAGGCTGGGGCTCAGGACCCCGCTGAGCACAGCAGCCAGGCGGGTTCATCTTTTTTTTTTTTTCTTTACTTTCTTTTAAATGTTTTATTTACTTTTGAGAGAGAGAGAGAGACAGGGCATGAGCAGGGGAGGGGCAGAGAGAGAGGGAGACACAGAATCTGAAGCAGCTCCAGGCTCCGAGCCGTCAGCACAGAGCCCGACGCGGGGCTCGAACCCACGATCTCGGAGATCATGACCCGAGCATAAGTTGGACGCTTAACTGACTGATTAAGCTCCCCAGGCTCCCTCAGGCGGGTTCATCTTGAACCGAGGAATCTCAGAGTCCAGTGAGAGGCGGCCGGTCCCGGGGAGAGGGAAGGGGGCACCTTAAGTCATGATGCCGGCAGCCACACGGAGCAAGGAGAGGTGAGGCTCTAAGACCAGAGGGAAGGCCGGCCTTTGGCAGAAGAGGCGGACAGAGCCCTTGAACCTGCTGTGCTTGGCCAGACACGAGCTGACCCACAGACATGAGCCGCCCCAAGCGCCCTGCCCCCTGGAGCTGGGCTTCTCTCCTGCCGGTGTGAACACGGCCATTCATTCAGGATTCGCTTTGCCATCGTCCCGGCCGCATGCCTGCGTTGTCTGCCTTCCAGCCCGGCACGTGGCGGCGTGAGCAGGTTCTCCGGGGGGTGGGAGGGGCGCTCACTGGTGTGTGACCCCTGCCGCTGTTTAGAAGCCCACGTTGGAAGGAGGCAGAGGCGTGTTCCCAGATTTGCAGAGCTTTCTTGCGCGTGGGTCAGTTTGAAGGAGGGCCGTGTGTGCGCTGGCCCGCCTCACCGTGCTCCCCTTCCGTTCCAGGGCCCGCCGCTCCTGTGCTTCGAGGAGGACCCGCTGCAGCAGCCCCTGGAGCTGGCGGTACAGCAGGTGTCCAGCGTGGCCAGGTCAGCGCAGGAGAAGGTGAGCCGGGGCGTGGCCGCCTGCGTGGACCCTTGTCTACCGAGGGAGCGCTCGTGAAGCCTGGGGGTGGGAAGCTAATTTGGTCTTAGGATTATTGAAAATGTGGGCGCCTTAAAAACCTAAAAAAAACCCAGTCTGGTCTATCCTCTGATGAACAGACACATAAAATATGGCAGATCCACCCACTGGAATATTATTTAGCCCTAAAAAGGAGACCCTGCCGCATGCCGCATGCACGGGCCTTGAAGACTCAGACCTGAGTGAAGAAGCCACATCTCATGTGACTTTGCTTATGTCACGTGTCTAGGATGGACCCTTCTGGAAAGACAGGAAGTAGATTCGAAGTCACCAGGCACTGAGCGGGAGGGAGGGCGGGGGAGGACGGAGACTGACTGCTCATGGATGCAGGGTGTCTGTCTGGGGTGACGATCATGTTCTCAAAGCTGGTTGTCCATCTCAGTGAAATCCATCAAAAAAAAATTAATTGCAGAGTTTAAATGGGCAAGTTAAACGATACAGGAATTATATCTCAATAAAATGCACATATTTCTGTGTATGTATATGTACATACGGCATAGATTTGAAGCCTTTCGATGCTACGTCGAGATCATTTTCCAGTCCGTGATTGTTCACAGGTTGAAATTACTTATTAGACTGGCCAAATACCATAAATAATTAAAAAAAATTTTTTCATGGAAAGTATCTGTGAGAAGTCCTAAGAAGCTTCCTCTTACATATAAGGCTTGTGTTGCGTGTCCTGTGTCTGCCTACCTTTACTGTCGAGTTGCACACATGCCATTTAGCAGACAGCGAGGGACACGTGCGTGAGCCCAGGCAGGTGGAGAAGGAGAGCATCACCGGACCCCGAGCCCCACCCCTTGGATCTGCTCCCTATCCCTGCTAGAGTGTTGTTTGTTGCTCTGGTTCCTTTTCTTTTGTTTATTTATTTAGAGACAGGGAGAGCAAGTGAGGGGGGAGAGAATCCCAAGTAGACTCCAGGCTCTGAGCTGTCAGCCCAGATCCTGATGCAGGACTCGAACCCACGAACCGTGAGATCATGACCTGAGCCGAAGTCAGACGCTCAACTGATTGATCCCCCCCGGTGGCTTCTCTCTAACTACAGCTCAGGCTTCTGGCTGGACCAGAACTTCTCTGTCCATCTTCTGTTGGTGCATAAGCGAGCTGTGTTCTCTTTTCCACAAGCACAGCACAGCCACAACGCACCCACGGGGTCCCCATCCCCAGTGCTCAGGCGCGAGCAGGAGGGTGGCTCACCAGCAGATGCGCTGCAGGGGTGCATGCCTTGGCTTGAGCAAGCGCTCCCAAATTGGCCAACAGAGTGTGGTTCCCGCCTGCCGCACCCTGGCGGCCCAGGAGGGCTCCCCTCCCCCGTCCCCCCGCCAGTGCTGACGTCTCTGACTCTATTACCCACCCCCCATGACTGTGGGGAAGGCTCTGGAAGACACTGGGGCTCCAGGAGGAGACTGGTGGTACCAGGGCGGGGTGCTGAGACCAGTGTGGCCCATGAGGCCTGGGAGGGGCTGGACACGCAGGTGGCCCCGTGCTTTTATGACACGGGGAGGGGGGCTGTCACGGCCGGCCTCGCCTGCCCAAGGGCCCCTGCTTGGGAAGCACCTCTGGGCGCCGGAGCAGCCTCCCTGTCATTGATAGGGACCAAAGCCCTTCACAGTGGGCAGTCTCTGCTTGGTGCTTTCAGACACAGTCCCCAAGGAGGAACAGAGTTCAGGGCTGGCCCGGGGGTGTGGAGAAAGGAGCCGAGAGGTGGACCCAGCAATGACCAGTTTTGAAGGTCTGGATGCTTTTAGCGCCCGAAAAGCAAGCTTAGGAGGTGGATGGCGCGACCGTGTTTGTTTTAACACAGACACAGAAGTGTGCGCGCTGGTTACCAACACAGATGCCCGCCCTCCGGTGCCCGCACGTGGCCCCTCCCTCTGCTCCCCCGGGAAGGGGCCGCTGCCCACCGCCTGCAGCGAACTCTCAGAAGCTTCTTACCTCCTGCAGACTAATGGCAAAGGGCACCCGGGGTCTTGTTTCGTTTCATGAGGTTGTTCAGAGTTCTTGGCTTCCGTGTTTTCTTGGCCGAAGGAGAAATGGGAGTTTGTCGGTGCCTTGTCACGGCTGCGGGGAGTGCCGCCCTCGGTCCAGGCCGGCCAGTCAGATGTCACGCCCCCTTCCCCCCCCACCCCCCCCCGAGTGCATCTGGAAGGGGGGCCGAGTGCCAGCCCCGGACCTGCACACACCGACCAGTGGGGGGCGCTCCGCTGGGATCTGCCCGGCTCCCGGGAAGCTGGGTGTGGAAACCCCTGGTTCGAGGGCCCTGCGCTCACAGACGTGCCTCTCGGCTGACCACGTGCGTCTGAAGGGACCAAGCCAGCCAGGTTCATTCAGTTTCTGTCCTTCAGTGACCTTGGGTTGCAACACCTGAGCCTTGGGAGGTGGGACCACACCAGAGCCTGTCTGTGCTCTGGCGCCGGGACCTTGAACCTTGTGATCTTGACCCACCGCATCGGGCAGGACGCGGAAGCAACGGTGCCCTTCTTCTGTGAGGGTCTACCCACCCCCCGCCCCCACCCCGAACACGCCCAAATGCATTGAAGCCTCCGTCAGCTTCGCTGTGTATTTTCTCTGCTCCTGTGGTTCGCCCTCGGGGCCGCCCGCACAGCTTATAGAGAAACGCAGATGTGTGGTGTCAAGGACGTTACCTTCGCTTCCTGAGCCGCTCCGTATGCTCAGCCTGCATCGTTCTCATCTCCCCGCCTCAGCCCTGATGAGGGACGTGGGATGGCACTCGAGTTAATGACAGGGACACAGCCAGCCTGGACCAAGGCGGCCAAGTGCCGAGTCACATCTTGGTCATCTGGATGGGAGTGGGGCCTCTGATCTCCCTCTGGGAGCACCTGCCCGACTCCTGTGTGGCCCTGAGCCCCGCAGGCCACTGAGGAACAGAACCTGGCTGGCCCCGCTCTCTCGGTCCCCTGTACGGACCTCTTCCCACAATCCCAAAGACCCCAGGGGCCAAAGTAATCACCTTGGAGCCTGCCCAGGCCCCCAGGTTAAGGGCACAGCTGCACACGACACTCCCCTTCGGATGCCAGTCTCCAGCCTGGGCCGTAAAGTGGGGGATTCCCACTCCTCAGGTTTGATGCTTTGCTGGAACAGCTCATGGCATGCGGGAAGGCAGCTTATTTCCTTCCTATTACTGGTTCCCAGCACTGGGAGAGACTCAGAACAGCCCGAGGGACAGATGCACGGGCAAGGGATGGGGAGGGCCCCCTCTCCAGGCACCACACCCTCCCCACACCTTCTCCTGTGGCCGGACCCAGAAGCTCTCCAGATTCCACCATCGGGGGGTTTCTATGAAGGTTCCAGTATTCAGGCATAATTGAGTAAATCACTACCAAATCACGACTGAACTCAGTCTCCAGCCCCTCTCCCCTCCCCGGAGGCCAGGAGTGGGGCGAAGTTTCCAGCCCCCTGATCGCGGCTGGCATTCTGGTAACCCACCCCCCTCCTGAAGCCATGCGTGGGCCCCCAGCCACCAATCATCTCCATGGCACACAAAACGCTCTTATCATTTGGGAGATTCCAATGGTTTTAGGAGCCGGGAGCTGGGGACAAAGACCAGATATGTATCTCAAGCAGTAATCCCTGCAAGGTGTTGTGGGTGATGGATTTTTCTGCAGGAATTCTGTCCTTGGAGGGAGCCTGTGCTCGCCTGGTGGGACATCTCTCTGTCACATCCCTGTCGCTTTGGCTCACTGCGTGCAGGCTCGGCCGGCCCCGGCGGGAGGCAGGACCCAGGCACTCCCAGGCGGGCCCTCTGCACCAAAGGCATCGCCTGTAAACTTTTCTCCCTGGACTCTCTCTGCCTTCTCTTCCAGTCTCAACATGCGCTGAATATATTTGTTTCTCCCAGACTGTAATTATCCTGTTACACAAGAGCGACGAATGTCTACCTACGTTTCTCTCTCTGCACGTGTCCTGGGAGAGTTTTGCTCCAGAATGTTTGACCCAGAAAAGGAAACCCTTTATTTCCCCAGCGCACGTGGCCGGAGAGCCAGCCCTTCCTCCGCGAGATGTCCCAATAGCCCTTCCACGGCAGGTCCGTGGGCGTGGAAACTCCACGCCTGATTCTGGGGGGTAAGAGGCCTAAGAAGGCCGTGCGGAAGCCCTTCCAGGATGAATCAGGCTTTGAGAGTCGTGCTGTGACAGGCACCGCTGACAGCCATGCGTTTCCTTTAGGGAGCGTGGTGCATCTCTTTGGACGTAACGGTCATTCAGAAAGTTTGCTCGGTGCTGGAAGCCATCTTCAGAGGCTGTGAAGGACGTTGGCTTTCTTGGTGTGAGGCTGGGTGGCCTGTGGAAAGCATTAATTATCTCCGCCTGCAGTGCCATCCCGAAATAGAGGCTTCTAATGGTATAATGATCATCTGAAGGTTATGGTTGTAAATAGATGTAATAACCCACTCAGCATGGAGAAGCCCAGAGACACTGGCTGGGTCTGGTTTGTTTGAGTGCTTGCTTCTCTCTCTGAGCAGTAGGAAGGTGGTGCCTGCTGAGGATGCTTCCTTCCCTGTCTGGGGTGTGGGAAGAATGAGAGCCAGCCCGTGTCCTGGCCCCCGATGCTCTCAGCTGTGACCAGCCCTGGACCGCGGGCTCCGTCTCTCCTCATTAGACTTCAAGACACTTCTCTGCCGGAGCAAGTATCATGCCCATTGTACAGAGGAGGAAACTGAGGCAGAGATGCTAAATCCCTTGGCCAACATGACTCGGGGCTACTAAGCAGGAGAGGCTAGAATTGAACCCAGGTCAGCCTCCAGGCCGAAGTAGGGCGCACCGCGGTCCGTGTCAATGCTGTCTTGCATGTTTTTGAGGTGTTTCACATCTGCTCCCGCCCCCGCCCGACCGTGAGAGAGACAGCGGAGAAGGGAGGTGAGAAGGAAGGGAAGGAACTCACCTTTGCTTCTGTAGAATGGAAC